GGTACCCCTCAGAGAGAGACCATTCAGATGTCCTCTTGGCCGTACCCTTGCAAGGACTTAGCTAAGGAGGGTGCAAGGCCTCTAATATGCCACAAAACTGCAGATGAGTGCCCAGTCAACCACCATGACCAGTGTGTCTCAGTCCTGGTACACAGATAGAGGATCCTGTTGCTTAGCGCGGTTTGGTCCACTCACTAACACATTCATTCATCGGGCACTCAGAGGGTAAACATTCAAAGCCCCTTCTCTTGAGGGTAGTCCTGACTAAGGAGAGTTGATCAAACTCCCCTTCTGCTTGAGCAGAGCAAGACTGACCGACAGACAGACAAACTGGGGTGCCCCAGGGGTCTTACTAGAATCAAACAGACTGACTGACTGACTGTATTCTCCTCCATTTGGAGTCCAAGGTGAGCTGCTCAAGCAGGGAGCCAGGAATCCTCCCTCAGACCTCTGAGGAGACTTGAGAAATCTCGAGGGCATGCCTTCCTATCAAGACCTGGAGAGGTCCTTGCTTTATAATCAAGGGCCACAACCAGTGACCAAAGAAATTAGCACAGTCAATCTTCCTGGCCAGTGCATCGGATGCTATGGCAAACAGAAACACCCAGGATTTAGAGGCAAATTATTTACGTCAATGGGCACTGATCAAGATCATTCCCAAAATATTGGGCCCTGATCTCTGGTGATCCAGGGCATACATGGGATGAGCAGACAGGAAGTACAGAAACAGAAAGGCTTGTTAGTTGGGAATTGGTTATTAATGACCAGCTCTGCGTCACAGTGACCAGTCATTTCTAAGAAACAAAAGTAACAGGAACTGGAACTGAAACTGTTACCTGAACTACTAACAAACTGAAGTGTACTGGCTGGGGAAGGCATCTTCTGCTATATTATAATTTGAGCCTAAGCCTTTCAGCACTGCCTAGAAGAACAAAAACCAGTAATATACCCCCAATGTTTGTTGTTGTGGCTTTTTCAGATTTTTAAAAAAATAAGTACAGGCAATATCATATCATGTAACCATTCAAAAAGTATAGTTAGAGCCAGGGATATAGCTCAGTGGCAGAAGCACCTGGCTGACAAGTACAAGGTCATGAGTTTGATCTCCAGCTCCCAAAAAAATACATAAAAATGTATTTACCTTAACTTTGCCCAGCACTGTATTTTATTATTGTTATTATCATTTTAATTTTAACCAGTCTAATAGTGACTTTCTAAAATTTGTTACAGTAGGAAAATAAGATACATGTAATGGCAGTTATAGTAATTTTTTTAAAAGGATAGGTTTATTTTGCCTTATGTATTATACTAATTTTTAGAAAAAGAAACAGTTACATCAATATTTCTGGTGGAAACAGAATTTAAAATGGGTTTAAGTAAGATCTCAAAGTATGTCCATTTTCCTACAGATGATTCAGATTTGTCCTTTGTGGCAGAGTAATATGTACATACAACATTTTCTTTATTCATTGGTGGACATAGGAGCTGCTTCCAAGATTCAGTTATGAAATGTACTGCTATAAATATGAGTATGCATGTATTGCTGTAATACGTCTTTTAACTCTTTTGGGGGAAAAATTAGATAAGAATAGCTGGGTCAAACAGAGTCTCTGTACTGATTCCACTAGTTCACACTCCCACCGACACTCCTACATCCCTGTTGCAAAGTTGCATCCCCAAACGAGCATAATGTTTACTAATATATATAGTTGCTTAGTAGTTTTTTTTTTGCAGTCCTTGTGCTTAAACTCTTTCCCTTTCAGTTACCTTTCTAACTGTAAAGATTCAGTTAGGCAAGACTTAATAAGAGTAGCAACCTGATTTTTAAAAAGCGCTCCCACTTGTTATAGTAATAGTATTTTAACTTTTTAACTCTACAGTAACTATTGAGAATGGTTTGCTTACTGACCAAAGAAACTAAGACTGGAGACTAACATTTGAAGGCCTCCTATATTTAGGGCACAGTAATCCTTTATCAGCCTGTGAAGAGAGGGATTATTTTTGTTATAGGTGATTAGAATGAAACTCAGGAAGCTTAAATGACTTTCCCACAAATGTATAGTTAGAATGCTGTTGAACTATAGTTTGAATTGACATTTGCCTTACTCCACGATCTCTGCTTTTTTGATTGCCCCGTCCTGTTTCTACAGGAAAGTCACACAGAATCATAATGTGGGTTAGATTGGCATTCTTATTTTCTCTCTTTTGTTCTTAACTTAGTTTCAGGACTTTATTATTGAGATGTAATTTGCGTACACAAAATCTTCCTTTGAAGATTTTGATTCACAGTGAATTAGATTTACAATGATGTCACCATCACCAGTAATTCCAGAACATTTCATTACACCAGAAAGAAATCTCTGCCCATTAATGAACTCACCTTTGCTTTCCACCTTGTCCCTGGCAACCATTAACCCACATTCTGTTTGAATTTGCCTATTAAGGTTATTTCATATAAATTGAACATCTACTACCTGGCACTTATATCTGGTGTCTTTTACTTAACATAATGTATGGTACAGCATGTATCAGTACTTCATTTCCTTTTCTGGCTGAGTAATAATCCACTGTGTGGATATACCACTTACTTGTCTTAGTTTGTAGATCCCATACTTTGTATAGGTAGTATCTAAGAGTAGTATTGATTTTTATTATTTTAATCACCAGTGTCATGCATCACATTTACTGCATTTCTATATCCTCCCGATTGAAAAGTCTATTTAAGTCCTTTCCTTATTTTTCAGTTTAGTTTGTATTTCTATTGGTGAGTTATAACAATAAAAGTTAGCTATATATTCTAGATACTGTACCACTCCATATGTGATTTCCAGAGATTTTTTTTCAGTCTATGAATATCTTACTACTTTCTTGATAGTGTCTTTTAATTTACAAAATTAAAAATTTTTTAACTTTTACACAATTTAGACCTTTGGTCTATTTAAATTTTTTTAATGTGTATATCCAGTTGTCTAAGTACCAATTTTGGCTATTTGTAAACCATTGATTTATTCTGTGGCACTTTTAAAAAATCAGTAGTCATAAACTCAACAATAGACACCCTGATTTTTAAAATGAAGCTTGGGCTGGGGATTCAGCTCAGTGGTACAGCACCTGCCTGGCAAACATGAAGTCCTGAGTTTGATTCTTAGTACCCAAAAGCATAAATAAAATAGAACTTGATAAAGAAAAATTCCTATCTCATGCAACAACATGGATGAACCTGAGGACATTATATTAAGCAAAATTAGCCGGTTACGAAGAGGTAAGTATTGTCTGTATGAGGTATCTAAAGTAGTCAGACTCATAGACACAGAAAATAAAATAAAGGGTGGCAGATACAGGAGAAAAGGGTGAAATTTTATTCAAAAGTAAAGAGTTTCAGATTTGCAAAATGATAAGTTCTGAAAATAACTTGCATGCCAAAGTGAATATAATCACTTTGTGACTATGTATTTTGGTAAATGTATAATTATTAAGATGATAATCTTTAAGTTTTTACCAGTTATTAAGATCACAATTTATTTATTTCTGTTCTCTGTTGATCTATGTATAACTTTAAGCAGTGCCATGTAGTCTTGATTACTGTACTTATAAAGTAAGTTGTGTAAGAGGGAGGAGCCATTTCTACATCTTAGCACTTTTTCAAGATTATTTTGGCTACTATAAGTTATTGTGTTTTCATATGAATTTTAGAATCAACTTGAAAAGTTCTGCCAAAAATAAAACGCAGTTGTAGTTTTGATAAAGATTACTTGAATCTGTGAGTCAATTTGGAGAATACTGCCTTAAAAAGTGTTTCCAGTACACTAACACAGGAGGTCTTTCCATTTACTTAACTCTTTAATTTCTATCAGTGGTGCTCTGTAGGTTTCCACACACCTACCTTACACTTCTTTTGTTAAAGATACATCTTCCTTGGTTTACTTTTTTTTAACTTTTTTTCATATTTACTAGTAGTCTGAATATGAATACCCCATCTCTGATACCATCTATGTTCTTAGTGAACTACTTACAACAATTAAATCAGAATTTGCAATTTTTCCTATGATTATTGACTATATCACTATATACTATGTGATTATTGACTATATCAACCTGGTATTTGCTTTTTAAATAAAAGTGGAAAAGTTCAATTGGGGACCAGAAGTAATCACATCTTGCATATAGGATCATAACATAGTTGCAAAATTTTCAAGCAGTTTACAGTTTTAGTCTCAAGATACAATTTTTGGCTTCACGCATCATAATAACTGTAATGACAATTTCTGTGTGTGACATTTAAGCCCACAATAGAAAATTGCAAAGAACAAATACAGATTGAGTGAATAGTGACTCTCAGACATCAGAGTGCAAAGAGTTACAAGGGTTAAATATAAATTCCCACCTCTAGAAGTTGTAAGTTAGGAGGATCTTTCGGTCAAAGTCCTGGGTTTAGGACTGGGGATTTAGCTCAGCAGCATAAGCGCCTGCCTCACAAGCGCGTGGTCATGAGTTTGATCCCCCCCCCAAAAAAAGTCCTGGGTTTACAAGTTGTTTATAAATTATATTTTGAGATTCACTATTCTAAAATTTCAAATCTTGATCTACTTGGGGCCTCTTAATATCAACACCAGTCTTTATAGCGTAACCATGAAGAGCTTTAAGAAACCCAGGATTTAAGGAGCATCTAAAAGTTTGAGGTACTCAGACTTTTAGTACATTCATGGTAAACCTTGATATGGTTTGTAGCTTGATTGCTCTAACTTGATAGATAGAACTTGAGAATGAAAATAATTAAGCTGTGAATTTTTGTTAAAGTAGCCTTACGGTAATCAGGTTTGCTTCCTTCAAGTTCTGCTTTAAATTTTCATGTCACCATTCTATATTAAAAAAAAAAAAACAAGCATACCTCTAGTATTCAAGATAATGATAACTTTCTAGTTGCTAAAAGCTGACCAGTAGAATACAAATAGAAGGGAAAGTAAGACTGCTGTGTGTTTCTGACTATCTTCTGAGGGCAGCCGCTGTGACGTCTGTCTCCCCGTTGATTGCCAGGGTTTGCTCCTGTTGATCCGGCTGGCTGGGTGAGTGTCCTCTTCCGCCCTCACCACTCCATGTATGTCCCTCCAGAAGCTGTGTGCTTGCTTGGTCAAAGAGTACAACCATACCTCCCCTATAGAGCGGGACTGTTTCCTCCATGTAGGGTATAAGAATAGCTTCACTCCCCTACAATAACCTCCAAATAAGATCTCAAGGTCCATTTGAATATCCTTCGATCATTTTAAGACAGAAGTTCAACTTAATTTATTTCAATTCATTGCTATACCCAGCATTTATTGAACATCAGTACTTGTGCCAAGTGCTTTTATGAGTGATACTGACAAAATATTCACAGAGTTCCTTTCCCTAATAACTGGACAAGTGGCCCATCTACAATGGCTAAAAGATAAATATTAAGTGCATAATGTATAATAAATACTATAAAGAAAAATATGTCAAAGTAAGGGAATAGAGAGTAACCCTGAAAAGGACAAGGGGGAGAATTTTTTTTTTTTAATATTGAAAAATAGCATTTAAGCAGAAATGTGGATGTGTTGCCTAAAGATTTCAGTGCTGGTACTTGTTTGATTCCTGGCATATTCTGAAAAATGATAAAATTTTTTATTGGAAGAAAATCAGTTAACTTTAGAGTATTTGAAAATAATAGAACTTTGTCTTCACATGAACTCTTATACCTGTAATAATAAGAAGCAGTGTTGGTTGAAATGCAAGAGCAGAAGGTCCAAAATCTCATTCTTCCTTCCTCCATTGCTTTCCTCACTCTTGTTCCATGACCACCTTGAGAAATCCTTTAGAGAATTCAGAACAGGTTGAAAACTACTAATCTAGGCCTGTTTGTAGACAACTGAATTAAAGATAAGGGATATTAAAGAACCAGGTAGAGTCACTCAGTTAATGACAGGTTGAATAACCCTTACCTAAAATGCTTGGAACCAGAAATGTTTGGGAGTTTAGAGTTTTTCAGAATTTTAGGATATTTGTATCTCTAATTTAAAATCTACAATGCTCCAAAATCAAAACATTTTATGTGCTGCAGTGCTCAGAAAGTTTCAGATTTCAGAGCATGCCAGATTTTCACCTTAGGGCTACTCACCCTGAGTTAGCTAGAGCTCTAGCTACCTGATCCATTCAGAAAGTTGAGCATACACTGTGCCAGGATGGTTCTAATGGGGATGGCAGGGAATAAAGATACAGTCTTGATCTGAGAAATTTTTTCTGTAGGAAGAAGAGATATTGTACAGTACAATATGGTGATAGTGCTTATCCTTTGGAAGACAGGGAAAGCTGTAGGGGAACCTGTATCTAAAGAATAGACTAAAATTAGACTGGTTAAGAGGGGCTGTAGTCAGATGGTTAGATGAGGGTGGGATCAATAATCCTCAAAGAATCAGTATCAGGATGCTTTCATCTATAAATAACAAGGACAGTCCTAATATAGACTGTGAACCATGGTTGGTTGTCTTCTAAAATGATTAACTCAAAAACAAGGGGTTTTTTCCACCTCCATTTTCACTCTTTTGATCATAAAAATGACTGCTAGAGTTGCAGGGTAAGGTCCAAGTAGTGTCCGGCGAGAACCTCTTATTTTCTTTTTACTAGCCAAGTGGAACTTCTTTGAGGCAGGGTCTCACTGTGTACTTCAAGCTGTCCGTGAACTCACTATGTAATCTAGGCTCGCCTCGAACTCATAGCTGTCTTCCTGCCTCAGCCTCCGGAGGACTGAGATTACAGGTATGCACCACCATACCCAGCTCAAGTGAAAACTTTCGATGCCTTGTCCCAAAACTCCCTGTCAGGCTCTGCCTTATGTCCTGTTGACTCTGCTGACCAGAACTAGCGCACTGTCCACTCTCAGTTTGCTAGTTGGAAACTAGAGAGCTATAAATGACTCAAAATATTAGAATTTACCACAGTATTTCTTTCCATGTGTTTATTCAATGCAGGAAGTTTTTTTTATGGAACCATTTTGCTAAACATAGAAACTATTTCCATATAGTTGTTACATGTTCATCACATGTAGATGTACTACATGTGTTACAATTTCTAAAAGTATAATTGGAGATAATACTGAAGTCATGATGATCCCAAAGTATTAGGATATTCTAATTCTAATTTAATTCTATTCTAATTTTTTATAATTTGCTTTTAAGGTTGCCTGCTTCTCATAACGCCTATCATTTCAATTTTGTGATAGCCTTCCAGTTATCAGTACAACCAATATAAGCAAAATAGATCGTGAAATCAGATTTTTATTTGCTAGAAAAGTAGTGCCTATTTCTCTAGCATTTATTTCTTTTCATAAACACGATGCAAAACACTCACCTTGTTACTGAGACTATGAAGTGAATAGAGCTTTTCAGACATGAACAGAGCTTTTCTGGGTTCCTAATAGGGGACAGTTTGTGACAGTATTCCTTTCACTTGCTCTGAATTCAGATTTCAGAGTACTTTCTGCTAGATTCACTTCTTACATCTTGAATCTAAACCTCTTAGCTAACTTACTACAGATTTTTTTTCCAGGTATTGAGGCTTACTAGAATAAAGAAAGCACAATTGTGTCTTTCACATAGTGAGTTCACTTCACTACCATTGAAGATAGCAATGATAAGGTCTAATGCAGTTATTTTTGCTGTTATCTGAAACTTCTTTGTCATTCTCACTTTTCTGTTTTAGTGGACTAGGTAGTCAGTGTCTGTTATCAGTCTGTCTGCCTAGTCACTTCAGACACTTCTATGCTTTCATTTAATATGCTTTTATTTTAAAGTCATTAAGTTTAGAGTTTCTGAAAACTTAACGTGCATATGGGCTACCTGAATATCTTGTTAAGATGCAGATTCTGACCTGGAATTGGGCCCAGGATTCTGCATTTGTAATAAACACTTACATGATGTCATCACACTTTGAGTAGCAAAATTGCCAGTGTTATTCTCTACAACCTCATGAAGTCAGGCAAGAATAATAAAATTTGAAACTCTTAACTGTATCAAGATGGGGTTTTCTTTTGAGAAGAAGGGTAAGCATTCTATATACTAATCAGACTAACTGGAATTTACTTTTTAGGTATTCTTCTAGGGTCTTAGCTCAGGCAAGAAACTTGCCTAGCATGGACAAGGCCCTAGGTTTGATCCCCAGCACCATGAAAATAAAATAAGTATCTGAGAAAAGAAATATAAAACATAAGGCCAGGGATATGTATTTCAGGGACATAGCACCTGCCTGCAAGCATGAGGTTGTGAATTCAATCCCCATACCGGAAAGAGGAGAGGAGAGGGGAGAAGGGGGAAGGGTGGGGAAGGGAGGGATGAGACGGGACAGGACGGGACAAGATGCAAAAAGCAAAATGTAAACTAATGGGGAAAATAACATTTTTGTAATGTAGAGTTCAAGACATGCTAAGAAGGTCAGATTATAAAATTTAGCAATACATTTTCTGCATTGTTTTTAATATAATACTAAAGATCATAGTCTTCCAAGGAAATATAATAGATCACACCTTCTATGTATCTGAGTATCACTTGTAGTATTAAAACTAGTTGTCCCTGCTTTATCCTCTTGTTGTGGAATTACGACCAAGAAGGAAAATACAGCTAATGGCACTTCTTGTATTTGCCACTTTGAGGACTTTGAAGAAATCAAATATGACCTTGGCTTCTTTTTGAAAAGGATGTATCCTCTTACAATAATACATTCATGCAAACTTGCAAAATGAATACTATGAAAATTTTTCACAATTTAACTCTTTGGGAGTTTGCTGTCCTTATTGTTCTTCTCAATATAATTAGATATTTGTGACATTAGCATCATCCTCCCTACTTGGACTGCTTTCTTTAGACATTTGTTTACATTTGTGCATCAAAATTATTTATCAGTCACTTTGATGGAAGATGCTTGGAATTTTTTTAGTCATGGTAACAGAACTGAACTTCAGTTTCCCGTAATCCTCATGTGCCAGTAGCACACATTTTTGAGATGACTAGCTATATAGTTTGGAGTATGATTTGTAGCAAGAGAATAGACATTTTCCTCCAAAAGGTACCTGGTCTCTATGGGGTACAAACTTGTGATCTTGGCCTCATTATCATACTTTTGTAACCATCGGACCTAATAGATGCAGTAACCAAATGTCCTTGTATAATCTTGAAACTGAGTCATTTTTTAATTACCCAAGACTTGTTTCAAATATGTAATTAAAATCACTTTGGGACATAAGCTGACTTTTGTTTGATAGGAAAAGTCACAAAAGTAAATCAGACAACTATAGAACGTAACTCACTTTTCATCTTCCCTGTGTTTTCTGTGACAGTGAAAGTCACAAAAGTGAAGCTTGCAGGCAAAGAGCCTAACTCACTTTACGGAGAGTGCTACGGTACCTTTTTCTTTTACTGAGGCTGTAGCAGGTCTGATGTCAGTCACTTTAGAGACCTTTAGACCTCAGTGCTCATTTACTGCTAAAATGTACCCGCTCTGCTTCTGCATTATGAAGATCATCTGTCAACACTTTGAGATTTTCTCCTTTGTTATTAAGCTTGTGATGCTCTACACTGTCAGGTTTTTTTGCCAATTATAGTTAAGGTACAATGGTGTATTCACCAGATCAAAGTCTTACATTGGCGGTAGAGGAATGATTTGTAAGTCTTTATTCATGTGAATTGTACAATAGAACACCTGAGGAATGCAAATAATTCCTCTTGAAGGCTCTGCAGGAAAGGCTGTTAAAATGACAGGGTAGAACTATTGTTATTTCAAATTGATGTTTTAGCCAAAGTAATTATTTCTCATTTTGTTTCATAACAGTTCTAGTTTTATTAGTTATATTGACCATATTTATGAAACAAAATGTGTGTGATATTTTTATATTATCTTGAAAATGGGTTTGTTCTATTTTACTTTCATTGAATCTGTATTTGCTATGTGATCTGCTTTAAATTACATATTTGATTTTAAGTTGTACAATAATAGTATGTTACTAAACCATTGATGGTAACATTTTAATACTGTTTTGTTTGAATAGTGTACCTCTGTAAAGTAACTTAGAATATCATGTTATTATAGGCAGATCTACCAGTTTAAGTTTTCCCTTCTTTCTTTTATCCTGTTCTTCATAATTTTGGGTAAGAAAATGTGTGGTTTGAATCAGACTTTAATGTCCACATAGTTTATTCCAAAGCAAATCTTAAGGGTTTCTTCTAATTTTTAAGAATATGAACAAAAGGAAACAAAGTATTTCGAAGATCAAAAGCAGCTAATAACATGTTAAATAGTTACCTTTGTGTAACAGACATGTACAAACTGTTAAGTGAAATTTTTTATTGTCTTACATACTGTTCAGTGAGCTATATTCTTAATTTTCTAACAACTGTGATCCACTGCCATTTTCTTTGATAGTTGAGTTTTGATAGATTTGTGGTTTCTTTTTTTTTTCTTTTTCCATAAAATGACATTTACAGTGATTAGAGGATCTCTGCCATAATACTTCGCCATAATAATTATTAAAACCTTGTTAAAATATAGAGGCAAGTTAGACTATAGCACACATTAAAATTGTTCTGAAATCTAGTTGAATGTGTGGTCAGACCTGTGTAGCAAACGTATTTCCAGAATCATAGCATGTTATGTATGCTCTGGTTATTTGAAAATGAAAATGAGTGGTGATCCCTCTTAGTTACTTGTTTGCTATGTGCAGGTATATTTTTCTAGTTCCTTTGTAATGTAATATGTATATCATTATTATCTCCATTTTTGTAGATGTGATACCTGAGGCTTAGAAAAGGTTTGGTAGGGCTAGGGGTGTAGCTCATTGACAGAGTATTTGCCTAGCTTGTGCAAGGAAGGCCCTGTGTTCACTCCTTAGCATTGCAAAAAGAAAAAGTTTAGTAACCTTCTCAGAGATGAAAAACTAGAATTTGAACCTTTTAGTTTTATTTACTACACTTATTTATGTTTTAATTACCAGTTTTCAAAAATATTCCATATTTTAAAGGAAAAACAAAACCCAACTCGCTAATGTCTTCTAAGGTAATAGTAGTATCAGTTTTCTGCCTGATTGGGTGTCCTAAATCTTTTGTGACTGAAGATTTCCTCTGTAGTTATGTTATTCATGAATCTACAAAAGCCAGGTTCATATGAACCAATATGTATATGTTTGACTGTATTTGTACTGTAATCTTTGGTTCTGTGCTTTTTGTTGTTTCATTTGGTTTTGGTTAGCAAAAATCTCTCTCAAAATCAGTGGCAACTATAAGTCTGTTAGTTCAAGAAAAGTAAACCAGTATACCTGCGTGATATTCCTCACTATCTGGCATTTTTAGGTGTGATTCCTGTACAAACGGAATTTTGCTTTTTTAAAAAAATTCTCTGTAAAGAAAATAGGATTATAAAATTGACACTTGTATTCAAGTGTACAAATGTTTAATGCTGAACAAATTTAGTGTAACTTTTAAAAGTTTTAAAATATTTGTAAAACAGTTCCTATAGATAATGTGCTAAAGTAAAACTAGATTATAGTAAAATATTATGGCGTGTACCTGAAGCAATTGCTGCCTGTTAATGCCTTGACCTTGGAAAGCTATACACAAAAAGATGGCATCATAAAACCGTGCAATTCTTATGAATATGTATGTGCTACTTGATAATAATGAATGTGGTACAGTCATGCATGCACTACAAGATAATGTTGTGCCCTTTTTTGTCTACAGGTTGATAAAAATTAAAGAGTGGGTGGACAAGTATGACCCAGGTGCCTTGGTCATTCCTTTTAGTGGGGCCTTGGAACTCAAGTTGCAAGAATTGAGTGTTGAGGAGAGACAGAAGTATCTGGAAGCGAACATGACACAAAGGTTAATTAGCATTCATTTTCCCTACACTTTATTATCAACTATTTCCTTGCAGTAATTTAATTGCTTGCGCTGATAGAATAATAAATGACAGAGTAATTACCATTATAAAGAGGGAATCTTCTCCTTTCTTTACCATGAGACAGAGTGAAAAGATTTATTTTAAATTAAGTTTTTAACTGTCATCTGTCATCTCCGTACAGTGTTTTAATTATAACATAGGTATTAGTTATGTATATTTTTGAGGAGGGATGATCGCCAAAACTCTTTCGTCATGTTCAGTGGGGGAGGGGAAAGGGTGAATCAGTTGCCGTAATTTTTTCTGAGTAACAGTAATATATTGTTAGAATATTGGATTTCAGTCAGATAATTTTGCTTTTATGACCCAAGTCCTGCAGACAATTAATACTCAATGGAAGTTATCATGGGCAGGCTAGATCTAAATTTTTTTATATAGTAAATAATTTAAAATTATATCCTCAGGCTTGTACAATTAAAACCAGTTTTAAAAGCGTTGTTTTTAGAAATACTCCCTTATTTCCTGACCTCTTCAAGTGTGTTATGAAAGCTAAATGCTTATTTACTAACATCTTTAACATTATCTGCTTGAGGTGAACAATTTTAGCTCTGCATCTTATCAGTGGCACAGTCAACTTACATGTTGAGTGAATTTGTTTCATTTTATTTCAGTGCTTTGCCAAAGATCATTAAGGCTGGGTTTGCAGCACTCCAACTAGAATACTTTTTCACTGCAGGCCCAGATGAAGTACGTGCATGGACCATCAGGGTAAGATTCATACTTATTCATCAGCTATATCCAGTTCCACACTATTGAATTCAGATTGATATCACTGACTTTGAAGTTTGTCATGGTGGCGGTTAGCTAGTCATTACAGATGAGGTTTTTGTCCAGGATAACTTTAATTATTTGTGAGCTGCTGAACAGTGAAAGTGGAGCGGCATTGATTGAGGCAGGTAACAATTGATTCTGCCTATTACATAGTCTGAATTTCTTCATCCTGTAGAATCTGTCTACCCTCCTCCTGTGGTCAGAGATAAGACGCACCAGTATTGTGCTTGCTTAATCTGTGTGACTGGGTTTGTCTGCAGTGAAATTGATGTTGCTTTTCATTTTGTATTCGCTAAGTTTGTTTGGGTTGCGGGTGGTTCTTGCCTCCTTTACTTTGCTCGGATTACATTTTCAGCAATAAAAGCAATATGACATCATTATGCTTTTCATAGATACAGAGTTGGGCTCAAAAAGCTAAACTCAATGTATAATAATTCATGCTTTTTTATTGGAATTCACAGAGGTTATATTATTTTTAGTGTTATATGTTCAACCTTCTTTAAAAATGTGACATGTATTTTAAATATTGATTTATACGGAATACAGCCAGAGAGAATGACTAATTTATTCCCAAAGGACAATAGAAACTGAACTGTAATGCTTTTAAATGTAAATATATTATAGTACAGTAGTTACTGTTGAAAAATGTTTTAAAATATATATAGTCCTAAATAGTATACAGAATTTTTACATTATTCAGGATTTACAGATTATAAAAATAATGCCAGAACTTTCAGATTCAGTGTCTCATTAAGTCTTTTATTATGCTTTTTAAATATATGGTACATAATCAATTTTAGTGTTGCTTTGATCTGTTTGCTGTAACTACTATAATATATTGTTTTATTTATTTTGCTTTAATGTGGATAGAAATACGGAAATCAGCATGTTAAATGCCTTGTGTGAATGTGAGAGTCATTTTTGTTTTATCTCTTCTCCCATTTGTAAACAATGTTTGATTGATTTCTAACCAAGGTCCTTTTTTTATAGACTTTAAAAACAGTGTCAAAGCAGATCCAACTTGGTAAACAAATTGCCAGTGTTTATTTTTACTATATATTTTAAAGGTGTATTTAAAGCCTTAAAACTTCAAACTTAAATAAAGCAGGAAAGCAAGCAAGCTCTGGGCTTGAAACTGTGAAAGCTGGTTTATCTTAAGACTGATTATAAGTATGTGTGGTTTAATGTGCTAAGATATTTAGTCAGGTAAGCATCAGTGAGTAGCCATATTAACCCAATACATCTTTTATTGTAAAAACTGTGCTTTAAAGTGTCAGACTCCTTATCACTTTAGCATGCTTTATTAAGCAGACTTTAGGTCACCATTATTTCTCAAATTTCTTTTCTATGGATGTGTGTGTCTGGAATGTATGCCCTTGTAATTTAACATATAGGGTAATTGTAAGACATTTCTCTTTCTATTTGAACTTGAATTTCCTTCGTGATGCTTAGAGGCATAGTGTATTATGCAAGATGCTCAAAAATCGTACTAAAATTTCTTGATGACTTCAGAATTATTTGCTGAACATAGATTATGTGATTTGTTAGAAATGCCTTAAAACTGTTCCCTTTATTGATTTTTGTTCTTTAGATGAGCAGAAATTTTGAGGGTTTTTAAAAAATGTTTTTTAAACCTTTGATAATTTAGCTTGAAAGTTACTTAACAATCTTCATTTTTTTCACTATGAAGAGAAGAAAATCGAAATGAAACTTACACCAAAACCAGACCACTGCATCTAAATCAATAAAACCACAGATGGCTGTTAAAAACAAGGCCAGGGTTCTTTAATATCTGCTGATCTATCCACGTCAAATCTGCTGCACAGATAGTGCCCAGTGTTGGAAAATGTACTAATTGCATACCTGACATCTTAACTGGTATTAAACTAAATTTTAGTTGAACCAACCACAGATCAGAGAAGAGAAATTCTGTGTTTACAATCAAACATCTTAAGTCCAATTAGTTTTGTTTGGTCTTTTTTCTTCAAAGAAAGGGACGAAGGCTCCTCAGGCTGCAGGAAAGATTCACACAGATTTTGAAAAGGGATTTATTATGGCTGAAGTAATGAAATATGAAGATTTTAAAGAGGAAGGTTCTGAAAATGCAGTCAAGGTAAGGAATGATGTTTTTTATTTTCATATTTCACAATTTTTGCACTGATGTGAAGATACCCATGAAGAAATGAGTGATAGTTATCTTTTAAACTGTGCAGTCTAAAGTAAACTAAGGTTATCAAGATTTAATTGTAAATGTTCACAATTTTTAAGATCATTTTTAAAGATTTTGAGTTTATCAATATTTGTTTGGGTTTTTTTTTCTCTATAACTGAAAATAACAATAAACTGGCTTTAAGTCAATTTGAATCATTTCAAAGAATTTATTCATTGATGGTCAGTGAAAGATTATACTTATTATATTTACATACCTAAAATAACAGTCACATGTACTTATGATTAATTCAAAGAAAGGTGTAGAAACTTAGTTAAATAAGACCAGTTGTCGCTGCAAGTTTATAGTTTTACTTTTTTTGTTTAAAGATCTTTAGGAATTTGATTTGCTTTCTCAACACTAGAGGGCAGGTCCAAAATTGTACTTTATCTTAGCTAATCAGTATAATTTGACTTAGAGGCACTAATAGTGAAGCAGTGTTACACATGAGTAGAAAAATGACTTTTTAATGTAAATTTTGGTGCAAAATTAAGTTTTTGGACTCATTAGATTTTACTTACAGAAATCTAATAATCTTCAATGACTATGTATGTCAGCTGATTAAACTGAACATTGTATGAAGATTTCTTTAAAATTTGCAGGCCAGCTTGAAAATGTCAGTGAATACAGAAGACTGTCTTATGTTTACTGTTCATAATTTGAAAGAAATATTAAAAAGTTACATCAAGTTTAGTTTATTTTTGCTGTGAGATTATAATGATCATGCTGGACAGCAGGAATTCAGTGGAACTATTAGATGAACCCCAGGAAGAAGGGGGGGGGAATCTTGATATAATTGGTTCAGTGTTGAATGAGAGCCATTTTGATGTTCTAAAAAAAGTAGAAGAGGTTATAGTTTACAACTAAACAAAGCCATTAATTTCCCAATAGTATTATCTGTTTCGACATAGATAGACATATAAATATTGCTGCTGAACTTTGTCAGGAATACTAATTAAACTTAAAAAACTATCAGCATGCTCAATTGTGTGAGTATATGTATTTTCTCATAAAGAAGACAAAAATGAGCATATTTTCTGTTACCAAATTTCAGAACTCAAATGCTTCTTTTTTATACTCTTACATGATAAGACGGTTTTGCCAATCCTTAATGGATTCCAAGTTATAATAAACTTGAAAGATAACATGAATTATCATTACATTCTTCAACAATTCAGAGAAACAATATATATTTCCAGCTTATTAGAATATTTACCATTAAATAGGAGTTTTATACCTTAAATGGAAAATGTTGACTTCTGGCTTTTTATTCTAGAATACCATTAGACATTTTATGTGGTTTTAATCTCTAAAACATGCATTTTTAACTTAGCAAAATGAAGCACTTATGAATTGCTTTATGCTCTTTTATTCAACAAATGTTTACTTGCATTTTGTAAGTAGATTTTAGGCTTGAGAGCAAGACTGTGTATATGTGCAGTATGTATATGTATTTCTAACACCAGTGCAGCATAACTAATTTAATGCCAGTGCTGTGAACTATATACTGAATAGCTCTGTGTGGGCTTTGTAGTCTACAGGGATATCACATTATTAGCAATCATATCTGCTTAGGCAAAGCTGGCTTCTACAGATGGCTGCTTTCAAGTGCAAATGAACTGGTTAGACGTGTCTTGTTTAATACGTACTCAAGATTCACAAATGGGTATTGATTTTTTTCAACCAGTGTTTCTGATAGCAGTGGAAATGGATTAAACGGTCTCTAGAGAATTTAAAGGAACACTGTCACTATTAATAGTAAACTTGAGTGGTAACAAACTATGTAAACTTACACTAATATGTCATGTCAATATGTTTGATTCAGATCAGATTGTCTATACAGTTTACAACAGTTGGGTTTGGAGTCTAGAAATAAGTGGCACATGGCCTTCAGTATATCGCGTCTTTACAAAATTGCTAATATTTATTTATACCTTATATAATTCTAGGGTGCATTGTCTTTTTAAAACTTAAGCTTTGTTTTAATAGTCTATTTTATTAGTAGGTGATTTTGAATGTATCTGTAGAATTGGCAGTATGCATTTGAGGCCTTTTTAATCTGATTTGTTGATTTTAACCTTAGGTGTATGATCTTTGTTAGTGTTTTTACTACTGGTTAGTGTAATTTCATTTGGCTTTGAACATACCATTATCTTTGAAGGGATGTACTGATATTGTTGAGCAGCACTCTCATACTGCCAATGAATTCTAACAGAAGGAGAACACTTTTGAGAATTTTTTCTGAAAAATCAGTTTCTCCTTGTTGCCTAGTCAGTGGTGAGGTCACGTGAGACGGTGTCTGTCATGTGCATTGTTAATGTGGGGCTGAAGAGCCTGTTGCACTTAGGTGAGGAAGCAGATGGGCTATGTCAAGAGGTGAGCCCAGTTTTCTGCAGCTGCTACTTATGTGTATTAAAATTACAGCAGATTACAAGTCGGGGTCTGCATACCAGCAGGTGGAATCAGTTGCTTTGCTATCTACAAACAGAAAAACATCTGTCCAACCTGTTGATGTCTGCTTGTAACTAGAGCCATTAGTCAGTAAACTTTATCAGTGATGAATTGTAGTATGCACCACTAGGTGCATTGTCAAGAGTACTTAAGAAACTACAAGAAAATAGTCCAAAGTCTATACACTAAAACTGATCACAGTTTTTCTTACAGCATACTATATTTTTTGTCACCAAGAACTTCTTTAAGGAAATAAAGCAGCTTTTTTTCTGCCTGGTGTGATCTGTTTTGGTACAGTGATTTTCTGGCTGTTTGCAGACACATCAGAAATGTACCATATACATGCTGTACCATAAACAGCATGTAATGAAACTTAATGATATTGGTATAATTATATTTATATACCAACAGTTTAGTGGAGAATACATTATGATTATGTATATATGGAAAGTCTAGTTCTGCCCAAGTCAGAATTACCTTTTTGTCTCACTCTTAGTTTTCAACTTATATCATTTCCTATATTTTGTTTTTCTTTTTATGTTTGTTTTTAATATGACCCAAATAAAAGCTCTGTATCTGTTCCTATTTGCTGTAAGTTAATAACCTATTTCCTTTGTATTTCCTATTTTCAGGCAGCTGGAAAATACAGACAACAAGGCAGAAATTATATTGTTGAAGATGGAGATATTATCTTCTTCAAATTTAATACACCTCAGCAACCAAAAAAGAAATAAAAATTTTTAGTTATTGCTTGGATAAACACACAACTTCCAAAAGGCATATGTTTTTTTAAATTAAAATTTCTGAAAACGGAAGAGACAAACAAAGTTGGGCAATGGAAATCTTTCTATAAAGAAATTATTTTTATTTGTTTTTAAATTATAAAATACTGTGTACTTCCGATGAAATGTAAGTTACTAAATGTGAGCAACCTTGCTTTTCATGTGATTAAGACCCTACTTCAAATTGTAGAAGCTTTTCAAGAACCATATTACTCTCATGATACTCCATTAATCTCCATCATGTGTGCCAAGCCTGACACATTTGACAGTGAGGACAATGTGGCTTGCTCCTTTTTGAATCTACAGATAATGCATGTTTTACAGTACTCCAGATGTCTACACTCAATAAAACATTTGACAAAACCAGCCTTGGTGTGTTTGGGGATGTCTGTATTGACTGACTGTGGTGTGCTGAATGCGATACGGCACCTGGTGGTTGCTGATTACAGAATTTTAAGGCGTGTGTATGACACAGTAACTGGAAATGTGGGGCAGCTGCAATTGTATCTTAAAAGTGAGTCTTTCATGAGAATCAGAAGAATAGTATACCAGGGATTTGTCTCCAAAAAGTTAATTAATTTGTAGATGGACATTTAATCTTTTCTTTGAAATTATTAAATTGTGAAAATGACCCATTCATGTCTAGTGGGTTATATTTTTGTTTCAATTCAGCAGTGCAATCACATTGCAGCCTTTCGGCTAAGACCTATTATCTGTTCTTATCAATTAATTCAGCAGTGCGTGCAAAAGTTCATATACTGGTTTTGAAACTAGTAAAGACATTATACTTTTGATCATTTTAAAGCTTCCTTCATAATTGCTATTAAAATAGTTGGGGACCAGTTGAATTTTACTATGTATAAGTTAAACACTTTTTAAAATAAGAATAATGATATATTAGTCATTCGGAGATTGCTACTTAGCCTTCTTCTATGATGAAACTCAGAATTCTCTCATTCCTGGTCTCTCCTTTTTCTTCTCTGTTAACACACTTATGAGCTCTGCTTCTCCCCATCCACTGCCCTTTTGTTTCTGGGATTGTAGGTCTGTTTCCCAGGAATGCAGATTCCAACCTAGGCCTATCTTTGCTTCTGCTGTATTGCTTTGCCATAGTAAAGATTCAGAAGTGTATGTAACTTTTTTTAAAATATCAAATAGTGATCCTTTGCTAAGATAAAAATGATTAAACTGCGTTAGAGAAGTAGGAATAAAACTAAGTGGAGGGTGAAAGAAAACTAAGTGAAACATAAATGAAACTAAACTACGAGTGTGGCTGACCAAGCTGGCTGTGAAAACTCGTTATATTTCCATTTTGGTGCGATATATACACTTGTTTGTGATGTATTTCCAGCAGTATAAGAACGAATCACATCCTAGTTTTGAGCTTTCAACAAACTAAATCTTAAGGCTGCTTAAAGAAGTTTGAAATCTCCTAAGAGCTCTTTAAGGTTGTGTGATTTTACTTTACCTTCTAATGTGATAATTGCACTTTGCAGAACAAAACATTAGTAAGCGAAAAGAGTTAGTTTTGATGTAACTGCATTCACGGGGGTTGAAATTAAATGTTAAAAATGTTTAGTGTTGGGGCTGGGGATTTAGCTCAGTGGCATAAGCACCTGCCTTGCAAGCAGGCAGTCGTGAGTTCAATCCCTGGTACCGATAAAAAGGAAAAAGACAAAAAAAAAAAAAAAAAAAGTTTAGTGTTTAATTTGCTTAATTTCTATATTCATGTACAAAGTTGCATTTTCTACAAATGTTTAGAATTCCAAGAATTGTTGCAACAAGATGTGTTCCTATATCTGAATGTTCTTTGCTCCTTTAATAATTGGTAAGAATAGAGACCAGGGATTTAGCTCAGTAGCACAAGCGCCTGCCTGGAAAGCATAAAATCATGAGTTCAATCCTTAGTACCAAAAAAAAAAAAAAAAAAATTGGTGAGAGTTCATGTATTTTTAGGATTATGAGCAAATACTTTTTGCATACCTGTAGCTCCATTTTGTAGTTAAAAAGAGATTTATCCTGTACTCAAAGCTTGAAAACAATTTGTGATAGCATTTAGTTGAAGTTTCTCTCATTGCCTTCATAACTCGCGCTTTGGGCGTGGCTTAGACCAGAACTGAAACTCCACAAGAAGCACAAATACTTTCCATTGCTAACATAGTTCTGAATGAAGCTTCTCTTCACTTACAGTGTGCCAGTGTGACTTTTACTAGTTAAGTTACTTGACCCTTCTGAATCTGACCTCTCTCTACCTTCTATGTGGAGTGTCTGTGAGGATTAAAGTTAAAACATTAAAATCCCCAAACCGCTTAGTACATAGTAAGTGCTCAATGTTAGCAATTCTTTTAATGTGTGTAGAGTGCTTTCTTCTGGTGTCCTTCTGCACTTGAGACAAAATTACAAAAGTGAAAGTTGTTTGGTGATTGTAAAGTTAAACCAGAGAAATATAAACGGATGTCTTCAATTGAAGATACTGCTGTGTATTTGAACAGCAAATCAATTTGTAGTCTTGCTTCCATTAGATCACAATGAAAAGATGAATTTTTCTTTCAAGGAGAGAGAACGGGGCTTACCAAAGCAGAGAGAACACTTTCCACTTACAGCATTACAGACTTCAGCTCTAGAGTGAGCTACAGATTTTTTTTTTTTTTTTTTTTTGTCTTTTTCCTTTTTATCGGTACCGGGGATTGAACTCACGACTGCCTGCTTGCAAGGCAGGCGCTTATGCCGCTGAGCTAAATCCCCAGCCCCCAGATTTCTTAATGAAACATGAAAGGAACTCAGTCACGTGAGTCGGGGGCCTCAGATCAGCGTTTTCTTTCACTCTTGAGTTTATGCTTCTCAAACTGGAGAACGGCTTGTTTTTGATGCCATCCAAGGGGAACATTTCTAAGTATGTTTCATATGCTGAACCGCAGAGTTGCTTTCACACTTTGGCAAGCATCTTTATAAGTACCTGTGCACGTGGCCTGCGTTGGAGGGTACAGGGGAACCCAGGAAAGTCAGTGAGTGCATTCTTCTGGCACAGCATGTGGGGAGGGTGGGTAAGTAGTTATATGTGCTAGTCTGCCTCTCCCTGTGGTCCTCATACAAAGCAGCATTGTGTTTTTCCTTACACAGTCCTGTCTTGGTGGCCTTACAGTATTGGGAATAGGTCACACCTTCATTTAATTACGTTTACATTCATATTTTCTTAATTCTCTTGCTATAAGAAATAAAACTGTCAGAATCTTAGCTATAAACTATTTTAAGGAAGTATTTGCAACTTGAATATGTGCTCCCTCGTGCTGTTCCTTGCAGAAAACTCACTAATAATACATATAGTGACAGCACCCTCAGGGACAGAGAAGCGGCAGTATGCCAAGAACCTTCATCCTCGTGAACAGTAAGTTGGCAACCCAAAAACATGGCCAGTACCTGAGGACTGGTACAGGAAGAAAACAGGAAACAGTGTCTGTAAAGCAGTCTACTGAAGTTACCATGTTCCTGTGGTAACAGCTTATCTCCTAGGCTAGCGGGCAGAGACATTTTGTGCAGTTAAGAGTTTATAGCGCCCGTTCTGTACTTTGAACCCAGCTTTATAGAATGAAAAGAACTTTTTATCAGATCCAAATTCCAGTTAGATATCACCTGGTGCAAATTACTCTTCAGGCCTTTGAGTCTTTGTAAATAAATGAAGGTAACACTAATGTACTAATACATAGGTTAAATGGCCTAGTATAAAAGGACGGGGGGCGGGTTCAGATAGGAAATAGCCATTCATTTACTGAATATACAGTTCCTTTAACATCACCTAAACGTAAATACCGTTAACAGGCCCAGTCCTTTAATGCTACACATAAGTAACTATGAAGCATATTTTCTGTGTTTATTAAATACTTATAGGGAAGAATTAATTTTCTTAATATTCATGAAGACTACTTAGAAGGATTTCTGAACAGTTAGATGTTTGCATGTTTACAACATGCCAAGACTTTTGTAAATAATTTTCACACTAGAAATTTCCCTTGAGGCTATCTAGCCTACCCTACCATATTTCTATAAATTAGAAATTACCAAGAAACAGGAGGGTTATGATGTGGCTTACATGAGGTCACCTGGCTAGATTAATGCTAATCAGTAAGACAACTCATGAAATAATAAACTGCATTTCAAACATTGTAAATCAGTTATTTAAAAATTAGAATTACTTTTCTGTTAGAAAATTGTGGTCATATTTTCTGAGCACCCCCCATAACAATCTATTTAATATAGTATCACTGTAATGCTATAGGGAATCTCAGCTTGCCAACTGAGGCTGTCCAAGATCTGGCCACAGACTATTTGTTGAGTTCTCTCTCCCCTTATTTCTACATAAACAAAACTCTTTAACCAGAATTGCACAGCTCTTGTCAAAAATGAAATGTTCATAATTTTAAACCCAGTACATAACATTTGAATTGAATGACCCAAGTTGGCCTTAAATATAGGCAAGTTTCAGAAAATAGGAGGAAAATTCTAGCAGTTTGGATCAGATAAATTTGAAAGTCTCCATGATTGCACTGTTGCCCCACTAAATCCAACCTGGTTACTCAAGAGCAGTGTCTGAAAAGGAAAGAATGGCAGAGGGGGTGGGGGTGGTGAAAAGGAGAATATACTCTTTGTTTGTTTGTTTGTTTTTTAACGGACACGGTCTTGCTATTCAGTTCAGACTGACCATAAACTCACTAGGCCAGTCTGGCCTCAAACTCATGGCAGTCCTCCTACCTCAGCCTCCCCAGGAATCAACCCAATGAAGGAAATAAAAGACCTTTACATTGGAAACTACAGTACTCTGAAAAAGGAGATCAAAGAGGGTATCAGAAACTGGAAAGACAGCACTTGTTCTTGGGGAGGAAGAACCAATCCAAATGTTATGTATTGGGTTTATGTACAGTGAGCTGGCCACACTTCTAACATTGTCACATAGATTTAACTGCAAGTCCAATCAAAACAGCAACATGTCTCACAAGAGAATCCTAAAATTCATTTGGAGCCAAAAGAGACCTAGAGTAGTAAAAGTAATTCTGGGCAACAAAGGCAAGGCAGGGGCATCACAATCTCTCACTTGAGAAAGTACAACAAAGCTTTTGTATTAAAACAGCATCCTACTATCCAAAAACAGAACAAAACAAAACACTAGAAGATGCAGAAACAACACCAAACACACACTTGGCCACTTTGACAAAGGAGCCAAACACCCTCAGTAGAAGAAAGCCTCTTTAATAAATGATGCTGAAAAAACTGGCTTTGTACATGCTAAAAATTAAAATTGGACTCATATCTTTCACCATGCACTTAATTCAAAATTGATCAGTGATGTACATATTCAAACATTAAATCTGTTG